GAAGAGCGTAGCAGCTGCATGGAGACTTCAGTCCTGTGGTATTTAAGGAGAGGATCAAGGAGCGACTTGTATTCCTATAATCTGTGGGATGAGTACACAGGATAGAACATAATCTTAGTTTAGAGCAGAATATTAGAAAAAATAAATCCCTAGCGTTCTAGGAGGATTGAAGATCCTGATGTGATGTGGTAGAGATGCCTAGAGCAGCTCCAGCTGGGTCTGTTCCTCCTTTTTTCACGCAGAGTGACAAAGAGCATATTTTGTGTGTTGGGCCACCTTTGAGCAGAACTGCAGAGCCACCTCTACTGTCCTGGCAGCACCCACTGCATAAAAGGCAGGTAGACAAACTGCTGCTTGGGGAAAGGAAGAGAGCTGTTTCCAGTAACCATAACTGATGTCAATGCCATACACATTTGAGACTACTCGGCTCCCCTTCAGAAAGTAGGCAAAGCTATAGATATCAGGCTTACGGAGGGAATGAGTTGTGCCACAATCTAAGGATATCTATTTGCCAAGCCACTGCTGCAGAATTGGTGCTGTGGATGTCTTTGCTCTTGAAAACACCACAGAAGAGTCTGTTTGCCAGTCACCAGAGGAGTCCTAAAACAGTTGTCTCCAAAAAGTTAAACCTGGCATGTGGATATCAGACTCTTATTAAAGTTTCTTACATCATCATTAGCAACAGGGAGAGGACATGGCTGAGAATTGTTCATGAGGCAGGAGGTGAAGCTAATTTAGCTTGTTCTCAGAGGTCTGCTTGGGCGCTGCAGGGCTGCCAGTCACAAATTATTTCTGTCAGTAAAGTGAACAGATAGGGCTGAAGAGGGAGGGAGCACAAGGAGCCATTTTGATTAGTGCAGCAGTACTTTAAATAAGAGCGTAGTGCAATAACCAAATGTTAACAGGCCTGCTGGTAAGGGTTGTAGTGGTGTTTTCATTAGATGTAGGTCCTTAGCCACCACTCCAAGGTATCCTTGAATGCTGGGAGCATCCAAGCTCCTAGCTTGAAGCTGCATCAGAAGCTCGAGGTTTAGGGCAATTGTTTTACTCTCATCAAAAACACTGTGCTCCAAGAGATGGCTGAGGAGGGTTTTGTTTTATTAAATAAAAAAAAAAAAAAAAGCCTGAGATCATGGGGCGTGCCTCATGTATCCCACCTTTGGAGATCAGGGAAATGTACTGGTGGCATTTGCGGAGAGCCTGCTCTCAGCATGCTACCAAAGGAGCAACACGGTGAAATGAGAATTAGCACAGTGGAGATTTTAATTTGTTTCATGGTTACTTTCCTGAGTGCTCTGACTTCACAGATCCAGAA